GGACGGGGAGGAGGTGAGCGCCCTGCAGGCTCTGCCGGTGAGTGATGCTTGGGTGGGGGCGAGGGGGTAAGCTCGGCATCCCGCCTCTTGCATCATCGCTGCTCGATTCCTGGGTCGTTCAACCGCTGCTCTCGACGGTTTTCAGATCGACGTGCAGCTGAACATCATGTCCTTCCTCTCGCCCCAAGATTTGTGCCATTTGGGAAGCACGAGTTGTTACTGGAGGGCGGCTGTGCAAGACCCGTTGTTGTGGAGGTATTTTCTCCTGAGGGATCTCCCCTTTTGGACATCCGTTGATTGGAAATCACTCCCAGATGTGGAGATTTTTAATAAAGCCTTTTCAGAGGTCAGCGATAGCGTGCTGTACAATTACATGGCAGTGTAAGTATCTTTGTATTCTCTTACAGCCTCGCTACAGCAGTAATATTCAGCCCACAGGCACATTTCATATTTACAGCAGTAATGCTGTGCTGTAAGCCGCTGCTTAAATTTTGATGCGTCTCAAATCTATTGTTTATTTTGGAAATACGTTTTCCTGTTGTTTGACAGTTTGGTCAGCTCTTTCTGTTTGGAATTCAACAAGAATGTAAAACGTTGTAAAAAAGTCTTAACGTTCTAAAAAAACTAAAGCTTTCTGTACGCTGCATGTCTACTATGCCACAGAAATAACAGTCATCTCGGAAGCTGTGTGTAATGTTGATCTTGATAAAAATGTGTTCTTCGCTCTCAATATAATGACAAATGATTTCTTAATAAAAGTACTAAGAAGTCTTCAAACTACAGCAAATGGAATGAATCTTCATTTTTTTTCATCTTACCTGGAAGACCTAGGCAGAAAAAAAAGGGCTTTTTTGAATGTGCATCGAATAACAAGTAGTATTGCTTCAGCTCTGATGGTCAAAGGCTGTAAGACAAAGACTGTGGTTTCAGCTAGTGTAGTTGAAAAGCATAGCAACACTCATAACGTGTTTGGATGACTGAGAAGAATTCTTAAGCAGATTATTCTGTGGGGTTTTTTTTTAAACTTCATTCAAGTCCCTTAATTTGCAGTAATTTTTTTTTTAATTTGCAGTTAAATTTTCCAAAGTGATTTCATGAAACTGTTGCTTCATGGTAAGTGCACTAACCTCTGCAATCTCTGTGCCCTTCATCCCCACTTCACAGATGGGAAAGACGCACCCAAAATTTGAAGTGCGAAATATCTACTGAGTTTGAACACTGGATTTAAATCCCTTTAGGTCTGAGTATTTCAGAGCATCACCTATCTGAAACCACCTGTCACTGATTTCCATTGTGTCTGTGAGCACGTAGTGGTTTTGCTGATCTCAACTGAAGCGCCTGAGTTTGGGGGTAGAGGAGCACACATTTCATGTTTCCTTGAAGTGATTTGTCCAGCAGCAGCCTGCCATGACCACAGAAGTCTGAAGCTGCTTCTCTAGGATGTCTGTCACTTCTATGACTGTAACTTCTTTCCCTTGATCACCAAAGTCTTTTCATGCCTTCTAGCTTCTGCATCAAATGAGCACATCAGCTTGCAGACAACACGTGTCTCCTTTCACAACACGCATTCTCTGTGCCTACAAGGGGAAATGGCCCTTTTCAGGTGGACTTAACCTGGTTCATAGTTACTAAACACAAAAGCGGTCTAATTAAGGTTTGAAATGCAATCAAAAGTCTCATTTTTTTATATTGTATGTGACTCATCAGCTTTGATGTTATTTAACCAATATTGTGTGTTCAGTGAGGGTGGGGGAATTTGTGATTTTATTTTATTTTATTTGTTAAAGTAAACTAAAAGATCCATAGATAGAAGTGTACTAAGGTCCAAAAAGTCTGTATTTGGACTTCGAAAGGACTGATGCCTTTACCTGCTTTGTACTGGTGTTTGAAACCATCAGTTTGAAACTTTATCATTTTTTACCTGTGCTTGAGTTGTACCGGTAACAAAGCATGAGGAGTCTGGGACGTAGATTAATTTATGTTGTTTGATTAATACCTCTTCCGTATTTTGTGTTTAATTTCTAGTTGCGTCTATTTTACACAGATATAAAAAAAGCTGTCCTCAGAGTAGAAGAAGTTTGAAATCAAGCCGTCCCCGGTATGGGGCTGTGACTTCCTTTTTGCAATCACTGGTCACTCAGGCAGAACCTCGCTTTGCTATGTTTGGGCCGGGTTTGGAAGAGCTGGACGACTCTTTAGTGCAAAAGATGATGACATGCCCAGAAATTCTGCTAGTAGCTGGCCTACCTCAAAGACAAATTCATGGTAATGCTGGTTTTGGTTTTTGGCTTTTTTATTTTGTAAACAGATATAACATGAAAAACACTGGGGGAGAAATGGAGAAAAGGGATGCTTTTTTCTCCCCTTGAAACTCAATAGCATAGTGGTAAGAAAAAATGAAATTTCTCTCTTTGTATTTATTCAGAAGGATAAATGCAATGAACGTTTGGGATAAAATTACAGCTGTAGTGAATTTATGATTAAATTTGCACAGTGTCAGAGGGATCGTTTTGCTCCTTGTACTTCTATTTTCATCCTAAATTACATGTCACACCTGCTGTTGTAATGGATAAATGCAGACAGAACTTTCTTTAGATACTGCTTGCAGTAACTGGCTAAAAAACACACTTGTGCTTTTATACAGGAAGTCAAGACTGATCCTTTATATGATTCAGTCTTGTGGTATCAAATGGTGTAAATTTCATTTAGAAGAGTTATAGGAGCAGGTGAAGGATTTTTTTCAATGTTTAAAAACATAGTTTTGAACATCTGTAATTTCACTTCAGTCCAAACCAGAGACAAAAATTTATTACTTTTTAACTAATGTTTATTTCAGCACAGCAGAACTGGAATAATTAAATTGTATTGATAGAAAGTGTGAAAATATGATTTCTTAGTGTTATCTTTTCTCTCTCATGTCCTTTTCAATGCAGCCTGTAAACAGACTAGAGCCTTTGCTATGCCAGTTTCAGCTAACAAACGCAAGTCTAGCTCCTCTCTGACTTAGGTTTCTAGGTTCAAGTCTAAGTATCAGAAACATGGACATGCCTCCTAGTTTTCTTTTAATACTATTGAATTGATTTTAATTAAATTAATAGTCTGATCAGTGAGACCATGTATAAAATTTCATCGTAAAATAGTAAATATGCTACCCCTAATGGCAACACCTAGGCTTGGATATACCCATTTCATAGCACCACTGGAACTTTCAGCCTACCACTTAGTTGTATTCAGTAACCAAACAGTTGTAATCTCATATACTCATTTTTCGTATTCAGTAACCAAATAGTTGTAATCTCATATAGCCATTTTTTCCCTGTAGGAATTGGATCAGGAGTCAGTTTTCAGTTTAATAACAATCAAAAATTCAATATTCTGACATTGTATTCAACCACCAGGTAAGATTTGTCCTCCACCAAAAAAAAAGTACAGTTTCTTGGTGATTTCATACTTTGGCTCATGTTTTTGTCATGTGATTTTTATCCATTCACATGCATGGATATCCCTTATAAACTGAAGCTTCAATGCATATCTTCACTTTTTCTTTCTTTCTCCAACCACTAATTTTTCACGTGGAAGTGATAAATCTTCTCCAAACCTTATCCATAGCAAATGAGTATGACATACATAACAGGTGCTTCTATCCCTCTCGATACCTTGATTGATTCCCTTTTGAAACACTATATAAACTCCTCCTGGGGTGTATTTTCATATGCATCTTGCAGATGGCTAACCATCTGTATATGTACACTAGAAAAGAAGGGGGGGCGGGAGGGGGCGGGGAGAAAGGAAACTGTTTTCCTGGCTCAGGCCATTTTCCTGTCCCTTTCCTGTGCTGCCTAGACTCTCAAAACTGAGTTTTTGCGTTCTCAATTAACCTGACTACTGAAATATTGAAATATCTTTCAGTGTGGAAAGGAGGAGAGCGAGGGCAGAGCAAGCTGTTGCTGTGAATAAGATGTTCTACCAAGAGAACAGCATAGTAGGGAATCAGCGAGCCGTGCACTACAGTGTAATAGCTCAAGTGAAAAAGGTGTGCGAAGTAGTTGATGGATTCATTTATGTTGCTAATGCAGAAGCTCATAAAAGTAAGGGGTGTCTCTTTATTTTATTTATTCATATTTTGTGAATGACTGGAATGTCATAAAAGGTTGCAAAGAATATGCAATACATCAAAATCCATGTTCTGATTTTTCCAAAATCTGCTTTGTTAGTGCTATTTCTTCATGGCTTATCCAGTCAAAGAGGTCCCCTAACCCAGACACTCTCCCTCATCTCCCTTTGAGGGGTTACGGCCCCTTCTTCCATTTATGGTGGATACTGATATGGTTGCTATCTAAGCTACATGTGGGAAATGATCTGGATTAAAAAAAACAAAACAAAACAAAACAAACCCTGGGCACGGGTAGGAGAAGGCGGCTGAAATGCATTGGTGGTGGTGTAATAGCCTGGAAACAGAGCCTTCACCAGGAAAACTGCAGTAAAAGATGCAATAGTCCAAACTAGGATAGTCCTGTAAGAGGATAATCCAAATACCTATTATGATAATTCTCTTTACATTCGTCAACTTTAAATGGAGGGAAAGGGCTAGCTCATAAAAGAACAGGGTAAAAAAATGTGAAGGGATATACTAAGGAGAAAAGTACAGTCAGTAGGGAAGGGCTGCTGATTGTACAGTGTGTGAGTATTTCTTAATGGCTTGTTGCAGTT